CCGAGAGATAGCACTCTCGGGCCATCCTCTGATCTCCCCTTAGGGAGCCGACTGTTCCATTATCCCTTTCAAACTTAAGCAGCATAAGAGACGGGATTATAACAGCCTTGGAATTATTCAGGGTTGGTCGACCCAGAATCATGTTGTAAGCCGAGAGTTCCTCTACTACTAGGAACCGGACTACCATGTGTCGTCCTTCCCCTTTTTCGCCCAGGCGAATGGGTAAATCTACTCGTCCCAGTGGGTGGACGACTCCTCCTCCAAACCCTATTAAAGGGTGGGGGGCCGGATGTATGCAGTCCGTCTGATGTTTCAGTTTTGACAGACATTTGCTGCTGATGAGATCTGAGGAGCTCCCGGTATCTATGAGGATTCGACCAACTCTCTGGTTGGCCACTTTACATTCAATAACGAGAGGGTCGTCATGCGGCCCCCTTACCCCTCCTAGATCCTCTTCAGTGATGACAATCTCAGGAAATGTATATTTGGACGGCCGTTCTTGGTGAACGGAATTTACATCTAACCGCCTTATATTATCTTTGTTGCCCCTAATAGTGGGGCCGCCTCCTGAGAAGCCGCCTGCAATGGTGTAGACGACTGCATCATCTGTATCGGAACTGTCGGCCTGTTGATTCTTTTTTTGCCGACTGCTTTTTTGAGGAAGTGTTCCCCGTAGATTTCTTGACATAAGTGTCAAGATCACCTTGCTCAGCCAAGCGGTCTAGGTACCGCATGAGACTGATGCAGTCATTGGTGTGATGACCAACGTCATCATGATAAGCACAGATTTTGTCTTGGTTCCGGTTGTTTGCAGAACCCTTCATGGGGACCGGCTTCTCAATTGAGAACCGACCCTTTATTTCTTTTAGGATAAACTGGTTATCCTTGTTAAACACATACTTTGGGGAGTATGGTTTGAATTCTTTTTTCTTCTTCTGGGCCGGCTGTTTAGAGGAATCGGCCGCCCAGACCTCTTTTCTTTTCTCCTCTTTGGTAGACGACTGTTTCTGTCGTCCTTCTCTTTTGTCGAACCTTTTCCCGTCCGACTGTTTTATCGTACACAGATCAGTCGCCTGTATATAAGCTTCTGCTTCAATCAAGGCCTCTTGAAGAGTCGCCACCCTTTTTCGAACCAAATCAAATTTGAAGGTAGACCCGTCTTTGAGACCTCTAAAAAAGTCAGTATAAGCTACCTCATCCGGTAACCCTTGAATCTGTATTCTCATCAGGTTGAACCGCCTGATGTAAGAACGAAGCCCCTCCTTCTCGCCCTGCTGAATTGTTCCCAAATCAAGAGTCGTTTTCTTTGCAGGGATGTTCATGGCGAAGTTGGAGGCAAATAAGTAAGCAAGCGTCCTGAAGCTGTTTACACAACCAGTCGGCAGGTTGCCGAACCATTGCTGTGCGATTCCCTTGAGAGTCGCTGGGAAACACCTGCACCAAGTGGAATCATCCAACCCTTGAAGGTACATCAGGTTGGTGAATGCCATCAGATGGTCTTCTGGGTTAGTAGTGCCGTCATAGGAACCTACTAGTACATTTTTTACTTTGGCCGGCTGAGCGGCTTCAGTAATTTCCTTGGAGAAGGCCGACGGCTGTTCACCAAGTCTAAGCAACCGTAGCTGCCAGTCCATAGGTTGGACGTTTTTTGCTGTAGGTCCACCAAATGGAGGTGGCTGCATAAAATACTGTTGTTGCGGTACAAACGGTAGGTTTGGTACCGCCTGGTCGCTATGAAAGCCTGACTGACGGGAGGTGCCGCCTGACTGACTCTCATGATACGACTGGGTATGCCTCATCGAGGTATTTTGTAAACTTTCTTGAAAATTTGAAGTAGAGGCCGACTCTGACAGTCGGTCACTCTTCTTCTGTTCTAACAGCAGACGAGCGTCTGCGTATGTTTTCTTCGACCCGTCCGCCTGAATGTGACGAACAGGTTTCCTATTTCCCGTAGGATAACGGAATTTTGTGAAATCAAGAGCAATTGGCTCCCGCTTTTTGGATTTAGGATGAGGAGTCGCCTCTCGCCCTTGAACTGGCTTCCTCTTCAGTGAAGTGGAAGGTTTTTTGGCCGACTGCTCTTTGACTGACGCAGGCGGCTTTTTGTTGATCAATTCTTGAATCTCTCCCTTGAAGTCCCTCATGAAGGTCATGAGTTCGTTCCTTGTGATGGGAGCAGACCCATCAGTCGGCTGTTGCCGAGCAGGCGGTGCGCCTGCTGGCTCGCTTCCTGTTTGAAGATGCTCCCGTTCCCTCCTTTCGGTATGACGGGTACGTCGGGCCCTTAGGGTCCCGTCTGGAGCTGTATGAGTTTCCACTTCAAATTCACTTTCAGTGTCATGGTCCGACTGAACTTGAGGGTCGTTCAGGGGACGCCTCTCTTCAGGAGTCGGTACAGACTTGGATGCCATCTCAGAAGTACTCTCCCCACAGACGGCGCCAAATGTTTCGGGGTTTTCTGATGTCCTGCGGGAGAGTTACAACACCGAGACTGGAACCGGACGCCTGTACCTGCAAAATAACGGAGACTCCTGAGAGCTCCGCCTCCAACGGTCAAGTTAGTACCTGATTAAGGAGTAATTGATACGGAAATTAAAGTGGTTTAACCTCTCTAGGTGAGAGTGTTTAATGTATAATCCGTGTGTTATTCGAGTTCTTTTTTCCTTAATGAGGATTAAGAGGAGTATTTATAGTCTTGAGAAGCGTGCCAGTCTCTAGGTTTAGGGTAAACCTAGGGCTGACCGGGCCTCTAAACAGGATTGGGCCTTGGTGGCCGGTTTTCCCATTTGGCATGGGTGGACACGTGGCGTGTCTCAATTGGTCCGCAGAGGACGAATCTGTGATTGACACGTGGCAAGCTCCTATTGGCCTACGTGAAGGACACGTGGCGGAACCTGGTTGGTCCACTTGTCAGTCGGTGATTGGAGGATAAAAATCCCCTAATCAAGAGTTATACAGTAAACCACTAAATTACAATTATACAATTATATACTCATTAAATCAACTACAACTTTAATTCTTCTACTTCATAAATCAGATTAAATCAGTTGCAAGAAGTACGAGGAAGAGAGATATCATACCTGGACAAAAAAAGAGAGGTTTAGAGCAGCAACAACACTGATAAGCGAGGATTAGAGCAGCAACAACACCGATGAGCAGCAACAACGAACGAAAGGCGCCGTGAATGAATTTGGGAGAATTGAAAATGAATGAGAGAGACGACAAACGAAGAGGCGCCGTGAATGAATGAGTGAGATCTGAGAGGAGATGAGAGAGAGAAAGAACTAGGAGGCGTGAAAGTGAAAGTGGAATTAGGGTATCAAAATGGTTGAGATGTAAATCTAACCATTGATTTTTTAATCTATGGTTGAGAATGGTGATCCGTGTGTGTTGTGGGGAAAAAAAGCTAACCGTAGATTGTTTTTAATCTATGGTTGAGAGTGGTGATCCGTGTGTGTTGTGGGAGAAAAAAATTAACCGTAGATTGTTTTTGATCTATGGTTGAGACTGATTAGATGATGTTTTGTGTGTTGTGTATTCATTTGATCGGGATCAGTCTCCAAGACGCGTATTAAAACATCTACGTAGTATATCTTTATTTTCATACAAGTAAAAATTATAAAAACGTTATATTAATAAAATATATAATGATACAAATTTAAAAAGATCACTCATGAAGTCATGAGTCATGACTCATGAGTCTCGTGACAAAATTAAGTTTTACTGTTTTATAGATTAGTGGTAATTTATGGTCAATATTTTCAAAGTTTGACCCCAAAAATGACAAAGGGACAAAATAAAGAGACGGATGGAATATTAAAATAATAGTTAGAGATGGTGTAGATCATTATACTTAAACTACACGAACAATGATCCTAATTTAATTTAAAACAACAGCTCAAGTTATTGATCCAATCAAAATAATGTTCACTAATTTATAACTTTGTACTAATACATACGAAGTATTTAACTATGAGATGGTTAGATGCTATGCGTTAATGTGTACATACGATCGATGGAACTAATCAATATTACCTTGTTAATAAATCATTAATGTTTTCTTTCATTACACAAATCAAACTACTTTGTAATTTCTTCATAATTTCATGAAAATATATAAAGATAAACGAGCCATAATTATCAGTCTTGTTGATTAATCAAGTATCGAATTACCAAATTGCAAATTTCCATTTAATAAGAACTCATTAAATCATGACTATGACACTAGTATTTAAATGATTAAATAAGAAACATATAACAACCTAGTTGTAAAACAATAATACATTAATTCACTAACTTTTATAATCTACTTCGTAATACACTAGTAAGATCAATATGACTAAACTTGAAACAGAAGATGATATATATTTATAAAATCAATGTGAATTTGTTTATAATATGATGCCTAAATATGAAATGATGAAGTCTTTACTTTATATAAAACTTGTTAACCAGCAAATACTATCAAATTTCAAACCAAAACCATTTAACTGCCCAAATCCAAAGGACTCGATAAACAATTGATTTTTTGAAACCGAAAACCGACCCGAAGCGTAATTTAGTAAACTCGGAATGGAACCGATCCGAATAACGTTAAACCGCAGAAGAACCGAACTAGTTATAAATTGAACCAAAAAAGAACCGGATCAGTTATAAACTGAACCGAAAAAAACCGAACCAGTTATAAACCGAACCAAAAAAGAACCGAACTGTTTCCAACCCGAAACCGCTTCCAACCCGAAACTGTTTGAACCGGAATAAAAACTGTTTACACCGAACCATTAACAAACCGCAACCCGTTTGCATCGAACCGTTTACTACCCGGACTGTTTACAACCCGAACCGAATTAAAACCGATCAAGATTAAACCGAAACCGAATCGAACCGATAAATATTTAAACCGAACTGAAACCGACCCGCGAGACACTTAAACCGATTTAATACCGACCCGATTTAATACCGAACCGATTTCAAACCGAACCAAACCCGAACTGTCAAACCGTTTGACAGTGCTTGATGGCCCATAACAAGTCGCTCTTGTCTGCTATCTTTCCAATTCCCCACTAAAAAGAAACCAACACCACTCTTTTTAAAATCCCCCAAAAACCCAGTAAAAAAAATTCATTCATTCATTCATTCATTCATCCCATTTTCTCTCTCTAAAAAATATACCCACTTTCTCTCTCCTCAAAATCATGAAGAATTGGGCATAAACAACCATACTCTCACTCACTCTCATGGGTTCCAACTACATGACCGTTGAAGGGTCTTCAACAGTCTCTTCTGGGTTGTCTGATTCAATCAACGGACTTAAATTTGGTCAGAAAATCTACTTTGAGGATGTGGGTAGCGGCGGCGGCGGCGGCGGTTCCGGCAAGTCTTCCGGCGCCGTCGGTGGCGGCGGTGGGCCGGTGAAAAAGGGAGGAAAGGCGGTGTTGCAAAGCGGGCAGCCGCCACGGTGTCAAGTAGAAGGGTGTAATACAGATCTTAGTGATGCAAAGACTTATTATTCAAGGCATAAAGTTTGTGGAATGCACTCTAAATCACCTATTGTTATTGTTGCTGGTATTGAGCAGCGTTTTTGCCAGCAGTGTAGCAGGTTTTTTTTTCATTAATTTCTCTCTCTTGGAAATTTTTATCAATTTTTTTGACAATTTCTTTGATTTTTTATTTTAGTTTTATATATATTTTTTGATGTTTATCTTGTTGTTAATCATGGGCTGTGTTTTATTTTGATTAATTTTAGAGTTTGTTTCTGATTTTGCTTGGTCTAATTAATTATACCTGTCCTTTTCTGTGATCATAAAATTTGTTATTTATCAATCATTTAATGTGGCCAAGTCTCTGAAGTCTGAAGATTTTTAATTAATATATTGATATTAGTAATTTATTTTTGTTGGATTAAGTGGGGACTGATGGTTTATTGAGTAATTAATAAGGAAAGCAGATTTGATTATTGTGATTTGAGGATGAGAAGTGTATTTTTTTCTTCTTCTTAAAATTAAAAAAATTTATTATGTGGTATTGGTGTTAGGTCTAATTATTTATTTTTATATTTTTCATTCTTCTGGGGTTAGGTAATGATAGTTTGTGCTTAAAGAATACCTTATAATTTATGACATTACATTATTAGGATGTTGATAGTTGCATTTAGGAGATTTGGAATGAAAAGAATATAGCATAACATTACATTATTAGGGTGTTGGTAGTTGCATCTAGGAGATTTGGAGTGAAAAGAAAAGAATATAGCAATTGACATTGTGTTGTATTACTTGGACATTATTTAAGTGTAATCTTGGTAAGTTGGTTGAACAAGAATGGTTGTGAGAGATTACTTATCTTGAAGGATGAGAGAAGTCACTAGATCAGGCATTGGTCGTTACTTGTGATCGATCCTTGTGTAGGTTGGACATTTTCAGAGATAAGAATTAGAATTTTAAGTTTCGCTTACAGTGAAAAATAATTGTTAGACAAGGCTAAAGAGGCCGAGTATCTGGAGGTCATGTTCTGTTTGTCGCTTTTGGCTTTGAAGAAGACAGAAAGAATAACATGTTCAAAGCATTTGCTGTTTAAGAGTTCATACTACAGTCAGAGTTACCTTTGGGCTTTGGCTTTATAACACTTATTTGTCATGGTACAGTTTCAGATTCTTGGCTCCTTCCACTATTAGTGTCCCAATTTTAAACAATAGGGTAAGGGGAATAATGGAAAACATATACCAATTGCTGAACACCCCTCCCTCCCCGACAACCCAATAAATGTTATGATTAGCAACTTGAAGTGCTTTTGCCTTTCAGAAAAGGACTTTGATGTTTGTCCTTTCATTATTTAAAAAGCTATTGCATGTGCAGTTGAATCATGGCCATGCCCATGAATCAAGTTGCTTGTTAACTGTGGCTTACATTTCATTCATCTTGGCCTTCTTTCCTTTACATCTTCGAGTACAGGGTGCTGGAGGTTTGTGTTGGTATTTTCTTCTTAGAAAACATATGTGTCGACTATAGTTGATAGTTCTTTGCTACTTATTTAGGGAAACCTTGTATCATCTACGGTGAAGTTTATTTTTAAAATCTATGAGGAATGATGTTATTATAGAGAGTCCTTATGTTTTCGAGATATTAGATATAGATGTAGATGTTACAGTGTTATTGATCATCAGAATATAGACTATGACATATTGAGATACCTTCAGATGATTCATGTGTAGGAAAATACAAAATTCATTTGTCAATAAAGAATTCTTTCTCTATGTAGCTAGAAACTGTTATAAAGTTTTTTGGTGGAAAATATTAAATGTTGTATTCTAAGTTCTAAATTGTAGTAATACCTAATTTTTGTCGTTGTTGGGGAGAATGACCAGATGTCTAAAATTCTAAGTTCCAAGTGATTGTGGTATACAGTTCTCTTGGGGTTGGCCTTCGTTTTAGTAAAGTATACTATTCATTGTACATTGTTAGTTATACATCGGCATTTTGTCATTAGTGAACATTAAAAAGGGGCTGCTGCATTACATAGATTTTAATGCAATGGCTAGTACAATCTGTATAAAATGGTACAGCTGTGTATAAATTGGAGCATTAGCAGTTTTTGTTTTATTTTTTATCAGTCTTTAAAATTGTCTAGTTTTCTAGTAAAAAGACTAAAAATTGATCAGTTGATTCCTATTCTATTTCGCTTTTGATAAATAGTTTTTGGTTAAAGTTCAATTTTTGTGACTTTGGACCTAGTGTCACATGTCATGAATAACTGCAGCTTTATAAAGTGATCTAGTGGTGTAACACTGTCAATTTATGTGTTGTCCAATCAACTTCAAAGCTTAATTTGACATATATATTTAAGAAATTTTAAAAATTGAGAGAATTTACACCTTGGGTGCTTCATTCTTACAACAAAATTGTGTTATTTGGTCATTTTATCTTAGATTTCATCGGCTTCCTGAATTTGACCAAGGAAAACGAAGCTGTCGCAGACGCCTTGCTGGTCATAATGAACGTCGAAGAAAACCACCACCTGGATCTTTGTTATCATCACGTTTGGGGCGTCTCTCTTCTTCCTTTTTTGGTGGTGAGCCATAGTAACTTTAGGGACTTTTTAGGCATGTATATTATAACTTGTGAAGATGGCTTTTTGCTAAGAAACTTTATTCATGTCATTGCAGACAACACCAGCAAAAATGGTGGGTTTTTATTGGACTTCTCTTCGTATTCAAGGCAGTCTGAAAAGGATCTGTGGCCAGGTTCAGAAACCTCTGAGCAGGTATCTGGAAGTCAGTCCAGGTCCATTATGTGGCCAGGTGATGTAATCCTGCAATCTGTACACTGAACCTACTACATTGTATCTAGCAAGAAAAACCCAGTTATACCCACTAATTAGTAGTTACATGAGTTTTTATATCGTTGTGTTAAAAAAAATAAAAATAAATAATTAATACTGCTTCTGATATGCGAATCTCTACTGATGCTCTTGTTGCTGTCATCTACTAATAAATTGATTTAATAGTACTCTATCATCTACTGATTAAAGTCTTTCATACCAATAAAACCTTCATATTTTTGGGGCATATTATTCATGTTGTATTATGATTTCAATTACTGTATTAAACAAAACCCCAAGTGTATTGTAAATTTGTAATCATCCCAACTAGTGTATTGTGACCTTGTACCTGTTCTGCGTACCGAAGCGTACTATGTATTAGGTAACCATGTCATCATTTTAAGTTCATGTTCAGATTCAAGTTTGATATAAGGCTATAAATTAATGTGATAGAAACAAGTTCAAAATTTCTGCATGAAATGTATCTTGTGGACGTCCATGATAATGTATCTCCTGTCCTGGTGTGTGTGTGTGGGGGGGGGGGGGGTAATATTCTGTTGGGGCGGTGTAGATGATTTATCATGAATGAAACATTCCTTGCATGATCTCACAAAATTGCTACTGTTGCATTTTTTTTTACCAAACATGCTGTCATTTTTCAAGTTAAATCATTCACTTGCTACTTCAAGGGGAAAAATTGTTTCTATTTACTTCAGTTAAGCTGCTAATTTTTCATGACTTTTGAATTCTGTTAAAACTCTTTATTTGTGGATGATTGATCTTTTCAATTGTCCTTGTTTTGATAATTCTCACTATAGAGTTTCAGGCTTTCAGCAGATAACAAGTACTCACTTTGAACCATTTTGACTTTTGCACTATTTACATATACTTCATATTAATTGAAATTTGTTGTTTTTTTTTTTAAAACTAAGATGTAGGATAAAAATTATAATGTTAAGTTATTGGATTTGTCTTGAGATAACCTGAAACATAATAAATTTTGTAGAATTGGAATTTGCCTCATTTTGTAGCATGTTGCATCTACAGGCCACTCTGAGGATCATCCTTCGAAGATGTATCTGCATGGTTCAGCTAGTGAGTCCAGTTATTCCTTCCCTTCTGGAGAATGTATCACAGGCGTCTCATCTGACTCTAGCTGTGCTCTCTCTCTTCTGTCAAATCAATCTTGGGGCTCCAGAAACAGTTCATCAGGTACTGCACTAGGTAACTCGATGAACGTTGATGGAACTCCCGTCTCCCAGTGTAATGCAGCTCATGGTGTTACAGTTGCACACTTTCCGAACAGCAGCTCATCATGGGGTTATAAAGGCAATAATGATGCCAGTTGTGGTTCAGATGGTGTGCCATCTGGTCATTTGGGACTTGGCCAGATCTCCCAACCACATTATAATGGTCAATTTCATGGTGTTCTTCTGATGGACCATGTCCAAGATGGCGGACGGCAATACATGGATGTCGACCATTCTAGGGCTTACAACTCAAACAACACAAACCATGTGGACTGGTCACTTTGACTGTACTTTTCTTTGCTTTGTACTGAGCAAAAGCAAGTGCTGCTGTGATTTCTGTAGAGCCCTTTATGATGACTGCTCTCTGTTTCCGAATCCTTAAGTGGTTATTTATTTTCTTAGGCGCGTAGCATAACAGAAGATACTCTTAACTGTTATCCGCACCACTGACTCAAATGTTGTGGGACTGAACTGATTACTTGTCCCGCTGCTTGTATTTTCTGTTTCCCTGAAAGGATCAAATACTGTTGTGTTTTGCTATTTGATCTGAATCACTGTCTGCTCACTACCCCTCTCTTCTGTATCTGTTATCTGTTTTTCCGTGACCTATGGTGGTATCAGATGCTAAAAAGCAAGTGCTTTAATCACTATTGCAACTTGATCCGCAGAGGTAGTGCTTCTATAAAGGGCCGTTTATATAATGCTTTAGTGTGGGAAATGATTTTGGCATACCAAAAATGATTTTGACATACCCTTGTGTGAGAGTACAGTTTTCTCTTCTCGCAAGGGGTGTGCCAAAATCAATTGGTGGTGTGCTAAAATCACTTTCCTTTAGTTTGTTTAGTTCCCTTTTCACGTGTATGGGACCTTACTCTTGACTACCATTTTATAAGCACTATCGATTGTCATCATAGAATAACTATAGCTCTCCTTAGTCTCAAACAAAGCATTTTGTTTGGACTCTTGTTTTTCGGAATACTTGTTACTAGTTTATGACTATCTCATATTTTATTTAGAAACATATTTGCTTTTAGCCTTTTAGTCATAAAAGAAACATAGTTGAAAACTTGACGCACTTGTTGCTGTGAAACTAGCAAAATACTTGAAAATTAACGCTTGCTTTTCGGATGAGGTGACTAAGCAGTTGTTCTAAACATCTAATTATGTCATACAGATTCCCCCTTCTCGGCCGTCTGTAGCTGCCCCCTGTTTCAATGATTCCGTAGAAGATACACACCACAGTAGTAAAACTCGTATCTTGAAATTTTCTCAACACAGCTTTTTCAATATATAAGTAACTCTGGAAGTGTCGATTTACAACGTTAACATCATCACACTAACATCATTGAAGCGGTTTTCTAAAATGCAAATGGAATTGTCCAGTTTACAACGTTAAAATCATCAATATTCAAACCCTAGTGCACAGCTGCACAGCTACCGTGAAACTTGCAGAGAGGCTGTTAATAGGCTCAACTCAATCATCCCTATTTTACAAGCAACACAATGAATATGCATCAATAGCCAGCTCACTACCAAATTATCAACCATGGCAACATCTGACGGTTATATGCCTACATGGATTGCAATTCAGCAGTCCAGCACCCAATCCAGTCTGACCACAATGTCAACCGCATCACCATCACACATGCTTTCTGTTTCACCACCTAAACCACAGCAAGTGGGTTTACTCTCTCACCAATAAGCAAGGACATTGATACGATGAAATCCCATATTTTAAGCAAACCCAATCTAATGAATTGGGTCTTCAGAAATTTCTGCAAGAAAGCAGCACTGAATGGATTAAAATGAGTTGACCAGCATAAAGAAACGGGTCAAGAATTTGCAGCAACAACCATAATTGCCCAGTCTTACAGCAGATATGAATGAAAATTCCCATAATCAGCAATTAGCCCCTCAATGCTGTCAAAAAATCACTTCAATGGTCATCTTCGTTTCGGCCAGGGCAGTTGGAGAGGAGAGCTTCCATGGATTCATACTGAAATTAAGGTAGGTAAACTTCAGGGGTTAGCTATCAAATTATGCACCTTACTGTTTGCCTTTCTAACTGAATAAATAACAAAATTAATATTGAATAGGCTTCTGAGTGATTTAGACACACACCTGACATCCACAAAAGAGGCAATAACGATGTTCTTCTCTAAGCTTCTCCAATAACTCTAGCAAATCCTGTATCAGATGCACCAGAACTGTCATTTAGTAAAAGCGAAATAACTGTAACACACCATCCAAACAACCATGACTAGAGGCATTTCATTTCAGACATAAATGATGCAAGAGGGAAAAAAAAAATCAGCCATATAGCTTTATCAATTGCAGACTTTAAGAATCATAGCGGCCCTGGTAAGTAGCACTCTCAGGCCCTCAGCTACAGGTGAACAAATTTTATCAATTGCAAACATTACGATTCATTAATGATAATAGACTGTCACATTAAAAAAAAAAAAATATGATAATAGACAATTTATCAAAAATTATACTTAGGAGATCACTGAGATCGGTAAGCAGAGCCAAAAGAGCCACAAATGCAAGCGTCAGGCATAAATTAAAACTCAAGTAATTTAACACAATAAATTTCTCAAATTTCAGGAATGAGCATGACTTTTCTTTCCACAACTAGCCACACCATGGCTTGAGGCAGTCAGTAGAAAGATATGGGAGTCAAGAACAAAGAGTAAGTTAAAAAGGCTATTTAAAAAAACAAAAAAAAAGGTTAAAAAGGAAGATGCAAGAATCCATTTAAAGCAAATCTAAGGGTGTGTTATCAATTTAGTTCTTTTTTAACCATTACACTTTTGAAAATTGTATTTACTTATGATTCGACTCTCGTACTTCAAAGTTAAAACTTATTTAGCCAAAACTTATTCCAAACTAGAAAATATTTTTCTAGCACCATATAGTCATGGACTAACTTTCCATTACACCTATTAACAAGCTGTAAGCTCCATCCAAGTCATAATACAATTCATTAATTCTATACTAGGGTTGTCCCAAACTAATTATCGTCTTTCCCTGACTATATCATGTCACTCTCCTTTAATGACTTCAACCTAACAACCTTTTATTACTTTTGTGGGATATTATTTTAATAAAACTCACCCAATTGTCAAAGGATCATTAATCTACAACGATGCATTTAACCTTTATTTTAGCATGGCGCAAATTAACTTCCAATAACAAGGTGAAAACAAAGTAGACTCTGAAAATGACCTAACTCGTTGAAATTAACACACGCTTAGCCATCATCAAAATTCAAAGTTGTCTGAGTTATGATAATTGTTCCTGCAACATAAATTAGGAGGATTCACAAATCTAGTGCAAGTGCTTCATATGCTGCTAGAAAGCACTTGAACAGGCTGAAAATCTATGTACCTCACTACAACGGCGCTTTGTTTAGTCAAAACCAAGAAAGGCCAAAGCTGAATATCTAATTACTCGTGATAATCAAGGTCCATAACCCTCAAAAAAGTGTAATAATCACATATTTTTGAGCTTGCCATTTGTCTAAGCTCAGCACAGTAGCATTTCTTACACTGTCAAGGTTACCTTTTTTTTTTTTTTATTTTTTTTTATTTTTTTTTTTTTACCATTAAATAGATTGGTCCCCAAATCATTTTGGGACTAAGGCTTTGTTGTTGTTGTAAATATAGTGGTTCCCCCATATGTAGCCAGCCAATCATTACAAAAACCTCTCCAACAAAGAAAGACTTACCTTAAATTCATTGTTTCCATTTCAAAATCTAGAACTCAATTAATAATCCTGTACAAATGAGTGTATAGATTATAATAAATTTATGATAATAAAAAATAAATAAGAAAAATAAAAAGCTACTTGCCAAAACAAAATATAACTTATGGCCTAATAAATATTTTACTCAAGACTTGGGTACCCATAACCCATGCCCAACACAGGCATGTGTCCAAGTTCCGACTTGGCTATTTTGTTAAAAACTTAAGAACTAAAATGAAGTGTCTAAGTGTCCTATACTCCTATCCATGTCCGAGTGTCAAAGGTCCCATACTTGAGGTGAAATAAAGATTCCAAGTAAAGTAGCATAACTCAAATATTTATTTTAAAAAAAAAATCTATTAGAGGAAATACTCTACAAGAAACAAGCAATTCTTTAGCTACCACATCAAACTTGACAACTAAAATGAAGTGTCTAAGTGCCCTATACTCCTACCCATGTCCGAGTATCAAAGGTCCAATACTTGAGGTGAAATAAAGATTCCAAGTAAAATAGTATAACTCAAATATTTATTAAAAAAATAATAATAATAAAATCTATAAGAGGAAATACTCTACAAGAAACAAGCAATTCTTTAGCTACCACATCAAACTTGCCAATTCCTTTTTCTAGTAATTGGCATCATTGAAGCCATAACCTATAGCTTCTAGAGCAGATCCAATTGTTCATGAGTTTATGAAATCATACATCTCAAGACCAGCCTGAATCTTACCACATCCATTAACATTGGATATTTTGGAGACATGATCTGGTAATGATGAATGCCAAATTATGACAATCTCCCTAAGCTTTGGGTCACAACTTGAAAGTTAAAACTCAACTGATTATGTAATTTATAACTAAACCCTAACAATAGATTTTACAGGTGTTATTATTCCTTCCATTCTATAAGATACAAATATATACATTAGATACACTCCCAAAAAAAAATTGCATAAATGAATAAAAACTACCTTGTTCTAACAATCATTTCTCTCACATGACTACATGAGACGTGAAAATTTTTCACAGTAATGAACTAGATACTCTGATGTCTATGAAATCCTTTCCCTGCATGTGGTTCTCGCCACTTTACAGTTTACACCCTCACATTGATGGGAAATTTAGGAGAGGAGACAAGACATAACATGCATTTCAACTGAATGACACCAGAGTACCACAGAGATCAAAATCCCCCATCATCATAAAACCATAAATTTTAATCCTCCGCGCCATGAGTCCACAGCTACAAACCATGTATAAAGCCACAAAAAGAAGCCACAAACCAAACTCTTTTCAACTGAACCAGTGATTCATTATATAAAAAAGATGGATCTGTTATTCTTGATAATGAAAAATCAAATGAATCAGTTATTCCATTCCCTTTCAAAATCTTTTTTTTTTTTTTTGAGGAAATTCCCTTTTGACATCTAACACAGAACTAAACATAGAATATGTCATTAACCCAACAACACATGATAGACTCACAGAGTATTCTTCAGGATCCAACAGTCATAGATAGAACCCGGTCACAATTCACATAACTCCATGTGTAGAAATTAAGGAAAAATTCCAACTGATATTCGAGCAAGGATTTCAGCAATTCAATACAAGAATACATACATAAACCAAATCGCTTATAGTCTTCACCCAACTAAGCTTATGAAAGTCGAATAACAAATTCACAGCAAGATGGTAATCAACATGACTAATCGGCTTTCACCAGAACTAAATTTCTGTACACTTAAAAAGTGGAATGTCTTTGCACATATAATGTTCCTAGCTTAATAGAACAAGAATACAAGTATGATAGAAGAACACAGATCCTAATTAAAAACAGATATTTCCTTAAAAGCATTAAACCTCAAAAGTCTTCACCCATTTAATTTATAAAAAAGCAAATAACAATGTCTAAAAAACAGCAATTTAGAGGGTAAATGATAGCCACACGGCGATAATTTGCACCAAAAAATCCTGTAATATCATTGCAATTCAACTCTGCAAACTGGCATTCAAATTTTATTAAAAAAACAAAATATTGGCAATATCAAACAATATAAGATCACAATTTACTCCACTAAACATAAATCATGAATACATTGAACCTAAAATGAACACAATTCAACCATTTCCCATCACAAGAAAATTACCATTAAACAGAAACACATCAAAATGCTAGTAAAAAACACAGCTCAAAATTCAAACAACTAATGCAACAAATACAGTTCCAATAAAATATACCTCTTCAGTAATCACTTCCTCTTCCTCCTCCTCATCTTCCCCATCATCACCTTCCTCCTTCTCCGGCTCAACCGCCGGCTCCCGATTCTCCAACTGATCAAGCGCCGCCTTCGCCTTATTATAGTTAATCACAACCCTCTTACTCTTCCATTGCATCTTTTGTCGAACCCCGAAATCCTCCAACATCACCTCCTCCGTTTTCTTCTTCCACACTTCTTTAACTTTCTCTCTCTTCACCCTCTCCTTCGCCGGATCCTCCCGCCCAATCCCCGCCCTCGACCGGCGTATCTCCAACCCAATTGGCTCCTCTCGACCCACTGAACCCTCCTTGCCTAGCCCTTTTCCTGGGGTATACCCCATTTGTTTCAGCAATTTGAACCCAATATTTGATTGGGGAATTGCTGATTGTAGATTTTCTAGGGTTTGTTTATCTTCTTCTAGCTGTTTTAGCTCTTTTTGGTGTTGCCATGATTGGAATTTGGGTTTTTTCTTTGAGGGTTGTTGCGATGAATTGGGTAGGGTTTTTGGGGCGAGTTTTTTGGGTTTGGGAAGTTGAGAAGATTCGGTTGTAATGAACTTTGAGAGATCTCCCATGTAATCTTCATCTTCATCTTCTTCTGGTGATTTTGGTTTAGCGTTAGTTGCTTCTGTATCCGCCATTGATGAGAACTTGAGAAAGGTTAAGGGTCGGATTGTATAAGAGGTTTACAGCGAGCCCATGGATCTTTTTCATAAACGGTTTATGTTTATTTGGGGGTAAAATCGTAATATCATAGGTAAATAACTACTAGTACCTTCATTTTATACGGAAAAATGTTTAATCGTTGCAAATAATATGTAACGGAAGTAGTATTTACACTAAAACCGCTACTTGGTGTAAATTGCTATTCCAACTTTCTAAGTACTCCCCCCGTTTCTCATTAGTTGCAACGGTAGGTCTGACTCATAGTTTAAGAAGATTATAAACTAGACTTATAGACTGGGAAAATACAGGTTTATGTTCGTGATAAACACAAATTGTTTATCTAGTGACATTTTCGAAAATAAATCAACAAAACATCTCAATTAGTATGACATTTTCATAAATAAATCAACAAAACAGTCCAGCCAGTATGACATTTTCATAAATAAGTCAACAACATTTAATAAAATGTGGGTCCCACAAATGATAACACTTAAAATATTTGAAGTATTTTTGTTCGATCTTCTAATTCACAATCAATCGTATACTCGTAGTAACCCTAAATTTCAATATCCACCAGTCCACCACTACTAGATAAAAATAACAACTACTTGTAATTGTGATAACAATTAACTCTAACATCCGTAAGAAATTTTTGCACTATGTTGGAATAAACACTCATTTTTGTTGAAATTAAAAATAACTACCAATCTATAACCCTTTAAAAAGTGGGAACTTCTCCAAATGAAAGGAATAATAACACAAACTCAATATAAATTTTAGGTGCGTCATCCAAACTAGCTCTCTCTCTCTTTTTTTTTTTTTTTTTTTTTTTTTTTTTTTTTGTGAAAGGGTGCTCACTTTCTTTCTATAATAATGCAATTAGTTGATTAGCGCAAGTAAAAACATGTAAAAATCACCAATTTTACACCATAACATTTTGATACTTAGTTACATTTATCAAAAATTTATCAATCAACCAAAATATTTCATCAATATTACTCAAAATATAATCACTCAAAGGCAGCAGCATAAAGAGATAATTCTAGAAGTTGACTCCACATCCCTCTTACAATATAAGCTGACCTGGCACCTTTCCTGGGCCCACCAATAAAAACGGTTACAGCAAGTAGATTTCCTCCCGTTTTCTCTCTCTTCTGCAATAACAAACTCTCACACACCCATTTTCTCTCTCCTCTTTCTCTCTCCTCTTTTCAACAACTTCAACCTCAACCGCCATTGTTACTCAAGCTTTTGAGCTATTCTTCGTCGTTCACTCCATTTCTACTACTTCAATTTCCGAGTACTTCGCTTAATTTCAACCATTCTTTGGTAGAATTTCACTTGTTCGTTCTCAATCGAATTCATAGCTTTCTTCTTCTTCGGTATGAACTTCAATTTTATTTTTGTTCTTTAAATTTCTTGTGATTTTCGATTGTTAATGGCGTTTTTCTACTTATTTTGATTTGTTTATGTCGATTTTGTTCTTCAATGTTCAGCTTAATTTTCGTTGTAATTATTGACATTTCGAACTCTTTATTTCCGTAAAATTTGTCAGCGTATATTCGAATTCATCTTCATTTATAGATTTATGATTAAAATCGTGTTATTATTATGTTTTTTTTTTCTTATTTTGATGTATTCGAGTACAATTCATCCTTTGGTTTTCTGCTTACTTGATTCTTGAATACTAGAACTCTGTTTTTTTGGAAGATTTTTTTGATAATATTTTCTTGATTAACAGCTACAATATTTCCTGTATTACTTTGATTTCTAGTGAAAAATTGAAGATGGCATTGTTTCTGCGCTTTTTGAGTCTTTGTTTACTCGTGTTCGTTTCGACGATACTCTCTTCCGAAGCTGCTACTGATCCAGACGATGGTAATTGCTCAGTCTCTCTGCAAATTATTCAAACAATTTATCTTGTTATTTCTGTATTTTGTAGTGCTACTTCAGTTGCTAATATATTAAGAACTTAGGAATTTGAACATGTTTCGTGAAGAACTGAAGAAATAGGTATGATCCGAGTAAAAGAATAGTCCTGTGTTTGTAAGTTATTGATGTTTGTTAATATAATTTCATGAATATATTGTGATTTACTACTATTTGCAGCGTCATTTCGGTCTTGAATAGATTATGAGTATGAAATTATGGAAGTATTAGCTCTTTATAAACGAAGTATAAGATGTGTTTTTTGTACTTGGTGTTTTTATGTACTAGTGTTGATAGCGGACTTAAATTTCATTTCTAGTGTCGATCATTGAGATAATTTATGTATTTGTGATATTAATCTTCTATGATCGACTGAAGATTACTGCATATTAGAGAGTGGTGTGGGTTTTATGGTTCCAAAGGTCTTGTTGCTTCATAATTCTAAATGTTATGTGAATTGTCCAAGTTTTATGTTGAAGACAAACTTCTGTGAGCGAGTCTGTAACAAATGACCAATGTATTTTGCAATTGTGATTTTAGTTCCTTGAAATATGGCTTAGAAAGATTATCAAGGATTCAACGAGAGGGGATTATAATCTGATAATATGAATGGAGAATTATTATTCGAGTACATACTATAATGCTGATACAATATTTGGGTTACTAGATAACTTTCTGTGATTATAAAAAGTTGAACTAAAATTTGTTTGAATTGAATGTGAATGTTTTTATTAAATGCAGCTTTAGCACTGCATGACTTGTACAATGCCCTAAAAAAGCCAAAGCAGCTTAAGGGTTGGACGGCAGAAGGTGGAGATCCCTGTGAACAATCTTGGACTGGAATCGAATGCTCTGGCTCATCGGTCATACATATGTACAACCACTCAGTTCCCTCTACATTTCTCTTTGATGCAAATTTGTTAACTGTGTACTAATGCTAACTCGTCCTGGTTGTTCTCTGCGATGAAGCAAACTGCGTGGACTGGAGCTTGAGGGATACCTTGGTGGCCTGCTTTTCAATCTCCACAGCTTAAAACACTTGTAATGGGCCTCTACTTGTTAATGAGCTTGTTGTATTACTATTTACTAGTGTATAGTCTTTTCTGACTTCTCCTTTGCAACACTAGGGATATTAGCTCAAATCGAGTAGGAGGAATGATCCCAGATGGCCTTCCACCTAATGTCACCTACTTGTAAGGCCTTTCTGACTGTCTTTTTTTAATGATTTATATGAGTTATAGTTATTGAATGCCCATGAGCCTACAATTCCTTCTATTATGTCATGCAGGAATTTGTCAGAAAACAAATTTTTGCTGAGCATTCCACAGACCCTTTCTTTCTTGAGAAACTTACGACATCTGTGAGTAGCTTTGCTTAATTCTAACTTGAAGGTCTATTCTGTCAGTTTGTATTACGCTGGTCTGATAATAAGGTAACATACATTCATTCTTTGGTAGGAATCTCAGTCACAACATTTTATCTGGACCCATTGGAAGTGTGTTCAAAGGTCTTGACAACTTGAAGGAAATGTAAGTTGCCTTAACACTATATATTCATCCTAGCCTAAGTTGCTGGTTTCAATTAATATAGGATCATATATGCACATAATCTAACAGCGCCAATTGTTAAAATCCTGCATGCACATAATCTGACAGTACAGGCATCAAATAACATTTCTTGTGTGCATATTATTGTTTCTCCATCTTATTTTGCATATTCTGATCATTGACATCTTTATACTTGTCTTCATTTGGTATAATCATGTGGCTCAATCACTAGGAATCTGCTAATGCCGATACTGTTCATTTTCTATCCTTATTGTTTAATATTAATCTACTGCTACAGGGATCTATCATACAACAAGTTCAGTGGAGATCTACCGAGCTCATTTGCATCTCTGACAAATCTTACCAAACTGTAAGTTCGAACTAATTCTTTAGAGATGATAACCAGACCGGTCATGTTTAAGATCTATCTGTCAATGCCTCTTCAGTGTTAAAATCATCTTAGTTAATTGAAGATATGAATATCATGCAGGTATCTGCAAAACAATGAACTCACTGGTTCAGTGGTATACCTGGCTGACCTATCATTGATTGAATTGTAAGTCAAATTTTATATATGCAATATGACTTATTTGTGATTTTCTTCAGTAACATTCACATATTATTGGCTACGATGTATTTCCAGGAACATTCAGGATAATCATTTCAGTGGCATCATCCCACAGCATTTTCAAACCATTACGAATCTATGGTAAGAGCCTAAGAGGAGTTCCTAATTAGTTATTACTATATCAAATTTCACACTTAATATCACTTTATCATTTTTTATAGGATTGGAGGAAATAATTTCAGTCGAGTTGCCTCTTACTCTCCATGGAATTTTCCTTACGATAAGGTCCCCAGTGAGCAGAATATTTCTAGTCCGCCAATAGCTGAGTCAAGCGCCATAGAAAAGAATCCTTCTAGGGGAACACAACAGCAGCACAAGAGAAAGGGGAAGGCCTTAGGAATAATAGCTTTAGGAGTTGGAGGAGCAGCCTTCATTTTGACTCTTCTGGGAGTTGCCATTGTTGTCCACATTAAGCGAAATCATACTGCTGAGCCTGAAAGCTTGAACAGCAGTCGTAGGTCAATGTGCTCCTTTCCAGTTAGTTCAAATGGAGGTAATCATATTATTTATTATAGAGAATTCTATTCCTTTCATAATTTCTTTCCTTAATTCCTTTCACACTGATTTTGCATTTTGCTCCGGCATAGCATCTACTGTAGGTTTGGTGGAAGCACTGATTTTGGTGTATATATGTTTCTAACTTCAGAACTTTAATTCTTGATACTTTTTTTTTGCTCGTAAGCAGATCATTCTTCTGGGAGATATGAAGATGTCCCACAAAATTTGTCATTCACCACTCCACCTGTGGCCTTACCCAGACATACATCTGCTGTTCGTGTGTCCACCAAGGGCAAAGTGCCCCCAAATGCAAAACTTTACACAGTATCTGAACTCCAGTTGGCTACAAATAACTTCAATGAAGAAAACTTTCTTGGAGAAGGATCGCTAGGTTCAGTTTACAAAGCAAAGTTCCCTGACACCAAGGTATATTTTTGAGTGCTAATTTAATCTTTTCAAATTAAGTTCAGTCTGATGATAAGCTGATTCAAAATATCCATGCTCTTGGTTTTCAGGTTTTTGTTGTGAAAAACATAAACTTGGTATCTCTGTCTTTCCATGAAGAAGAACAATTTTTGGATGTTGTTCGTAGCATATCTCGTTTGCAGCATCCAAATATTGTATGTCTTACTGGCTACTGTGTGGAGAACGGACATCACCTTCTTGTATATGAATATGTCAGAGATTTGACTCTTGATAAAGCTCTTCATTGTAAATTCTTTTTGCCACTTACCTGGGACCTCCGTATTCAGATAGCAGTTGGTGTGGCAGAAGCCCTGAAGTAAGCTTCTTAGTAGTTCCTTGAAAAAATACAAAGATCACTCTCACCTGTGCTGCTATGTTATCTGCTCTCTTATCTCACTGGGATTTTTTTATTCAATGTCAGTTATATGCATTCCTTGTTACCCCCAATTGCACACTGCAATCTGAAAGCCGCCAACATTTTGCTTGATGATGTGCTTAAGCCTCAAGTAGCTGACAGTGGACTTTCTATATTGAGGCCTCTCACCAGAAACAGTGTCAAAGTCAAGGTAAATACAATATTTTTGCATAGAGATGAGTGCTAATGACATTGCAAGAGTATACACTGCATTGACCTCCCAGTTTCGCTCACATCTTGTATTTCAATGCTTGCAATTCTCTAGTTCCCAACATGTGGTTCCGTAAATATTATGGTCATTAATTATCACTGTCTTTTACAACTGCGATAAACAGGCTGCTGAGATGGCTATCAATGATAGTGGCTACATTCCACAAGAATATGGGCAAACAGGAATAGAGAGCATAAAGACTGATGTATATGCCTTTGGTGTCTTGCTTCTGGAACTTTTGACCGGAAGAAGGCCATTTGACAGGTTCTGTAACTGCTTTGATAAATTTATATCACACTGATATCACACTGATGGATATGTTCTGCATCTGCTAACAAAATTTATCATTCTTGTGACATCGCGTTTCAGCTCTAGAGCAACAGAAGAGCAATGTTTGGTAAAATGGGCTTCACATAGACTTCATGATTATGGATCTCTTGAAGACATGGTTGATCCAATTCTAAGAAGATCAATCTCTGCAAAGACTCTCTCGAGATGTGCTGACATCATATCTTTATGTGTTCAGGTAAATACTTATCCAGAACAGATTTGAGGCATGCTCAAACCTGTGTGCTTTGGCTTATTTACCAATCCATAAAAATATTATTTTGCATTTTGAAAAAGGCCCCTTCGAAAGTTGGAATAGTTTTCTTATTTTCCCACATGATAGGAAATCAACTAGCAATTCTTGCAACTTCTCCCATGTTTGAAAAACCATAACCTGTATACATCCAAAATGATTTCACTGTAGTTGTTCATACAAAATTCTACATGCTCATCATCCGTAATTCTTATGACCACCCAAGTACTATGTGGACCAACACATGCCTCTGTTCCTTAATTGCTTTCTTTGCATCTGTAACAGCCTGAAAAAGAATTCCGGCCACGAATGTCAGAAATTGTTGAAGCTCTAATGAGAATCTTGCCAAAGCCTGGGGCAGATGTTGTAGAAGGTGATGCCTTTGAGAGATCTTTCCGGTCAACTAAAACTCGTTTTTCTGAACTCTCCTGAGAAGCTTCATGCCTGTATGAATTGGTCAGACCAGAAAATAAATTTTTGCAGCAATGCCAGCAACTGCCACTCAACTTAGAGATAGGAATATAGGATGTGCAAAGCTATTATCGTTAACAGTTGGAGTCTTATTGTATAGCTCAATGCCTAATAAGGCACGGTTACACTGTAATACTGTGAATCCAATGCAAGTTAGCATTGGTGAGTTAGGCTATAACTGAAAAAAAAAATAGGCACAGAGTAAACAATAGCTCATGGTTTAACAGTTTCTTATTCATAGGTTCAGTTTATTTTTGTTAAAGGTTTGTTCTCACTCTTCTCAGCAATGTTTGATTTCAAATTCAGATTATGTTGAATACATTCAGCTAAACAAAATTCTGATAGGGAAAACGTAAAGGTATTCATCAGATATACTGCTTCATGTTATATACCATCTTACATAAATGAACATGGTCGGGCCCTTAGATTTACAAGTAACTAGTGATAAACATGCAAAATTAAACCAGATGGTAAATTGAGAAATAGATCGTTATTTGAAGCTTAATTTGTTAAGAATATATACCAAAACAGAGTTATACAACATTAGAAACTTTAAACTTTCTAAACTATATTCAACATCCTTATTGAAAACATAACAAAGTGTAGGAATGCCAAGTTAGCCTGGTTGCTGGTTCCTATTATTAATACATGCTAACTCTAGTAGAAAAGCTTTGGGAGAACAGCTAAAAAGATCACACAGATACACCACTATTTAACAATGTATTAATTTCTCCAATTATCTTGACAGGTCTTCCATTGAACATGGATGAAAGAGTGGTTTCACATAGTTTCTTCAGCTCCCTTGTTTTGTTGATTGCTACTTCCTGCAAACAAAGAGCACTCGTTAATTCTTCTGCTCATCGGATTCAGATCAAATTACAGTAGGTCAAATAAGAAATATGAATATATGAATGCACACAGTAAATAACAGTCTGAATGCAGGCAACAAAATAGCATAAAGTCTGAAAGCAAAAAGAATATAAAGACAATCACATTTAGAGGTGCATTTTTGAAGTACAATAACGCCAAAATATTTTCATATATTCATCCCCAACTCTTCCACTGGATTTAATATTTAGCACTACAGTACCAAAGTAAATGAGGGAGAGGCAGAACCACAATAACAGCTCAAATCCCATCAAATGCATCAATAGTTGACAATCTTTGAATAAAAGATAGTAAAATCTCATCATCTTCTCTATTAGTAAATAAACAAGTGAAATAGTTTTAAAAAAAAATAAATAAATAAATAAAATAAAAACCCCACACACACAATACCGCTCTTTGCTGTCTCTTTTCAGTTGCATTGAGCATTTAGGCTCCTATATCTCACAAACTGAGATTTAAGAAAAGTGTCTTCCTCCATGACATGTATTAAGCCGAGGCCAACTATACTAATATGGTTTTGCAACTTTTGCTATCTTCTTTTCCTAATAATATGGACCCCAGATTATATTAGAAAAATCTTGTTCACAAGGCACGCCCACACACACACACACACATACATAAATTATATTTAGCCTCTTTATCTTTCATGAACAATGCACCCTCCTCAAGGATAACTCTTCACTAACCCAAACTATAAGTTTTCAGACAAGAAGATGTAGGGATTTCAAGAACCATTTAAAATCTTAATTAAGGTCCTATTTTGTTCACTTAATTTCCACTTATTACAAAAAAAATTATTCAGATAAAAATTATATGTTCATATAAGTTCAAGAAATATAAGTTCATATTATTAATAAGGATTACATCAAATTATAACAAAAACAGTTCTAACAAGCACAGATAATTTCAGGTTAGCTCAAATAACTTCAGAAAAGTCCAGATAAGTAGATTGCACCCTAAGTGTCAATTTTATTGGATAACCTAAATTACATGTACAATTATACACTATGAAGGTGTGTAGTCATTTTTCGCCTCACCCCAACAGCCAAACAAGACTATTAGTGTTAGCACCTCAACATCGTTAAATTATTAAACTTGAAAATTCAACTTCTTAAAAGAAGACTGTATTGGCTTCTATGGTTTCTTAAAAAAAACATCATCAATAAAATTTTGTAGATTATTATTTTGTAGATTATTGTCCTGCTACAAATCCATAACTTCCAGTAAAGCAAATTCTTCCCAAATCAATTAGAGCATGGCAGAAGAAACAGAGCACAAAATACTCACTTGCTTTGGCCAAGATGAAGCCATTGAATTCTGCAACTCCATACGTTTTGCAGACAAGTCTTTTAAACCGTCTTTCAGCTTTACTTCATGATGCTTTTTTTCTTCCAAGTTTAGCACAAGTCTGTCTAAGAATCTGTAGCAAATGATAATAGTTAGAGCTGTAGCTCCAAATACATCACAAAATTAATGATGTTTTGAAAGCATAAAATTCTGTCAATGATCTGATGAATTATTATAGCAAAATGCAGAAAGCTTATGTGAAAAATAGCAATAAGATGATTACAATGACATGCATAACAGAAATCTCGGGACAAATTCTTAGTATTGGTAGGGGGGAGAAAATGCTAATATAGTCTCATATAGTCATATATGTAAGCACCTTCTTGAATTTAGTATCATGATCAAGTCTCTTGTTTTTTTGTTCGTTAGTAAAGATATGGCCATTGAAATGTCAGAAAGCATTTTCTGAATGTTATCAGTCGAATACTGTTGCAAAACAAATGGAGCAACTGCCTGAACTTGATGTTGCAAGGACAAAGTCTCTTCATTTTTCAACTCCATTAGCCGCTGGTTTAAAAATGCCTTGATCTGTGAAAAGGTACAATCGGAACAATAAGAAACACTGCAGATCAATTCTATTTCATCCATCCCTTTATGTTTACCAGATTGAAAGATAAAAGGCAGAATTAACGAGTGAAACAAGGTGCTGATAACATATAGCAGAAACATATAAATACCTCAAAGAGATCATCAAGAATTTTATTTCTGTATTCCGTCTCCAAAAGTGGACTTCTATCACCTGAGACTTGAACGTCAGCTAAAGTATTCGGAGCAGGTGTCTGAGCTTCCTTTGCAATATGTGTATCACAATCTTCTGTTGCTTCCAATTGAGAATTGTCAACACTATAATCCCAAGATATTTCTGAAACCTCAACATCAATGGATCCTCCACCGCTTGGAGCAGCGTGACCAAACTTTTCAGACTCAATTGCAGAAGAATCTTGCAAAAAATCTTCAGCATTTATAATTTCGTAAGGACCCAACCCATTAGCAGCATCATCCGTCTCTTCAACAGTGCCAATATCCCAGTCAATCTGAGAGCTATCTAATGTAATATCCCAATCAATGCCATCTGCCCCAGTGCTCATGGTTCCACAAGTATCAGAATGTTCATTAAGGTTGGACACAGCATTTGTGGATTCGACCAAATCAGATCCCACAGAGACACTAAGTGTAGGTGGGTTTTCAATGATATTCCTTAAATTTTGAACCACAATGCCAGATGTACACTGTATCAAATACATGAACCTATATTAGCAACAGGCAAAATTCTCATTGTAAAGCAGCTTTCACCAGACAATGACAAGCAAAAAATTGGAAAGATTAAAAGTAAAGATCAGCTTACATCCTTATTCGTATGAAGCTCCGTAACAATACTGGAGTAGTATTCAATAGCTTGTGCAACAGAATCACCACTTACGACTTCCATAATATCACTGAAGATAGTTGGAAGAGATTTTGTAGCACTCCCTAAGAGTTCCAATCTAACATTATTCCCCTAAAAGCAAAAATTAAAATCAAACTGTTCAGAATCATTATGAAAACTCGCTTCACAGGATTGAAGACAATGGGGCTTAGTAATATAGCACAACTTATGAAACAAACACCTGCAATCCTAGTTCTTGACAAGCTTCAGCGTACTTTGCTGCTGATGAAGCTGCACTTCTTTTTATATCAGCTTCCTTGCGATCAAGCTCTGCAAACTGTTGCTGTGTCTTCTGAACCTGCTTTTTTAAGTAAGGGCTTCAAATTGAGGGGGAAAAAATCAATCAATCAACAACATGATTGGCAACAAAAAAGTTTGCTCATAATGACAGAAAATCAGACTTTGGGCTCACATCTCATAATTAGCATTTTGGGCCATAGTTTGAGCAGCCTCGCCAAGGAATACATGATCCTTCTCATATGCCTGGACAATTGCTTCCCATACACCCTGTCACCATAATCACAAAATGAAAAATTAGCACTATGATTTCAAGTAAAAAACATACAGCTAAGCATCGAGGAGAGAAACAAGAACTTACAGCAGCACCTGAAAGCCGACCAAATATGTTCCTACTTTCTGGATTGGTCTGCAAGAGAATTTCATATATTTTTTTTGCTTCCAAATAATCAATTCCTGGAAAAAAAAAAAAAAAAAAAAAAAAAGGAAAAATCATTAGTATACACAGAAACCAGCTGGACAAGTATAGCCACATAACTAAAAGAGTAAAACCTATTATCTTTACTAAAATCAAGTTCAAAGCTATATGATATGTAGAGTGAGGCAGAGAACTTGAAACATCCATGTAATTAATGAATTATAGGAACTTTGATCCCAGACAATTTCAGATATTCCACATATTCAAAAAATTTAAGATTTTATTAAGAAAATGTAAAATGAATTTTTGGTGCTAAGTATAAAATTGTAAAATGAGCAAAACAAACAAATCATAGAAGTAACCAAAATAAAACTCCTCATCCTGGGCTTCCTCACTTAAAAAACTCTATTTATAAATCCAAACACTTATGGTGTCAAAATTCAATCACTTTAAACAGCTAGAAACTCATTTAAAAGGACCTAAAACAGCCACCTGCTCTGCAATGGGATCAAAAATAATTTGAAAAGCTTTCAACCCCATAGAAAGCACTTGCTAGTTGCTACTCTAGGAAAGCATAAATACTTTTGTATCTTAGAATAATATTTTTACTTCTCACTTAGTAGTTAGTTCTGTCTCAGGTAAAAAAAAATAATTATAATAATAATAATAATAAAAGAACTTTCTTAACACAGCAAAAACTTTTTCATTGCCCTTTTATACTATGTTCCAATAGTTTCTTAGTTCTTACTTCGTAAACCATAACTTTTTGAATTAATTTAGCAGGAGATGAGTGAAAAGGTCTGTATACTTGAGTGTGAGCAATGGAAGTATGCCAGAAAGAGCCTAACTATTATTTGTACCAATTATCTTCTCAAAAAAAGAAAAAATTAATTCTGCAAACAATAATTTAAAATGAGATACACTCTACTTAGAGGCCAAGCATTCCTTTGCTAAAAGCTAAAATTTATACAAGTATGATGAACGGCTGGACAAAAACAAACAAAATAGGACAATAACTCGTTCAAATTTTTGTTACAAAAAAATTATATATAAACATTAAGAATGG